CCTAGAGTAGGTGGGTATATCGCCTTGGGATAGGTGTTCTGCATGTAGGTCTTTCTACTGTTGGTCAGAAAGCCAATCCATGGAAGTGAGTCCATTCCTAGGAAAGGTAACCAGGGACCATAATCTTGGGGGTTCCACCATCTCTATCCAACCAATAATTCTGGTTATTTTTGTGTTTTTGAATTTTGTTACATATTTCTCCTCCTACTCCATCCAGGATCTCCAGTTCTGATCCCTTTCTGACTGGTTGGCCTTGGTAGCCAGGCACCATCTAGCTCTTCTGGTCTTGGGGGGAACGAAGGTTGAGGTCCTCATGGCCCATCTTATCTTTGGAATAACTGTTTCCAGATGACTTTGATTTTGTTCACTCTTCTTTGCTCCAGATGAGAGGATGCTTTAGGGCCTGGCACTTTGAACTCAGACTTATAGCCTCCAAAACTCTAACAGAATAAACTCCTGTTTGTTAAAGTCATTCTATTTGTGGTATATTCCCATCAAAATGGCACACAGGTAACCAGAACAAGACCAATAGTTGCATCATAGATGGCTGCTCGAAAGCTTTTAAGACTCCTCACCAAAGTAGGTTGTAGAATGTGATTTTTATGTACTATGTTTGTCTACTAACTAGAAGGCTGGCAGTTCAAACCCACCAGCCACTCCTTGGAAGGAAGGTTGGGCAATCTACTTCCATAGTGATACTGCCTCAGAAATCCAAGGAGGGGTCCCTATGAGTCTGATCCAACTCCACAGCAGTGAGTTTGATTTTTTTGTTTTGTTTTGTTTTGTTTGTTTTTATGTTGCACAGTACTGCATTACCACTGGCCCAAACACCAGAATACGGATAAATGCATAGACAAGTGAGAAGATCAGGTGGAAGTAGGCAAACAGGAATGTACCCTAGACCAAGGATAGATTTGGCTGAAGACAATCTTATATACGCACCTGTGCTACAAAAATTATCCACATGCATTACAGAAGCAACTGAAGACAGGGCTGGAGTAGCTTTCTCAGAGACAACCAAACATCTTGAGAAAGAAAATTCTTTATTTTAAATGTTAATTTTCCTTTGTGTCATTTGTCACCTTCCAATTGAAATTTTCATCGCTTTTTTACTGCTCATAAATTCATTTTTAGGGTCTCTATGAGTCGGAACTGACTCCAAGGCAGTGAGTTTGGTTTGGGGTTTTTATAAGTTATGGATTGACACATACAGTGCAGCTATTATTCTCTGTTTGTTGCTCTCCTTTAATTTTTAGGGTGTGCTTAAATGTTTTAAATAATCAAATCTATCAATTCTCCTTGTTGAGTTCTCTGTTTTGTGAGATACTTAGAAGACCTTCCTCAACCTATGACAATAAAAATGTTCACTGATATTTTCCTCAAATATTTTTATGGCTTGCTTCTTTATATTCAACTCCTTATTTTTTATGTATATAATAGAAGGAAATAATGATACATTTCTTTTCTATAAATAGGTAACCCAACATTAATAACCCTGCTTTACTGAATTCTTTATCCTTTCCTGAATTTAAGTGATGCTTTTTCTTATAGCAAATATTTACACGTTTGGGTCTCTATCTTCTCCTTATTTCTACTTTGCAATATTTCTATATTAATCTCTACTTTTTCTTCCTTAATGTTGTACATTTCCTTGTGTTTTTTTCTTTTTTAGTAACATCAGTCTCTCCTATTTTTCTGACTACATTTCTGATCATTTTCTTATGTGACTTAATTTCTTATGCTATTATGTTCATATCTCCACATGATTTGTGTTTCCTTTTAAAATGCTTAATTTCTTGTTACATAGGTAATAACATTATACAGGTAATGTATTTAACACACATACACACACAGTATCTTACCATATGTTTCCTTTTAAATCATACTATTTTTTCATTCGCCAGTCTATTTTGACCCCCTTTCCATGCCTGTAAATTCAGAACTAGAAGATACTGGATAATATCCCATTTATAGATTTGTATAATTTATAACATAAATTACATAAATTTTATGTAATTGACTCAGTGTTACTAGACATTTAGGATGATTCCAAGTATTTAATAATATAGACAACATTCTAATCAACACCCCTTTCTATATTTGTGTCATTGTCTTCTTAGGACAGATTAGTAGAGTGTAATTGCTGAATCAAAGAATATATGTGTATTTTAAGACTTCAGATTCATATTGCCAAAATGCCTCCCAGAAAGACTACACCTAGACACGTGGATAGATATAAAATTAGGAAAAATAATGCTTTACACAAACAGAAAAATGTAATATATTTTTAAAATTAAAATAGACCTTAATTAAAAGTATTACCTGAGGGCGATTCATTTCACCCACTGCAATTTTCTTTTCCTCATTGATGAGCTGCATAACTTTTTCATTAACAAGTGGTGCATTTGCACCTTTAACCTTTGAAATAATTTTGCCATTCTACAAGGGAAAGTAAAACATGATGGGAAATTTCATATTCAAGATAAATAAAATATTAATCCTTAATCTGGACCAAGTCATTTTCCCTTCCCCCTCTCCCATCTTTTTTTTTTTTTTTTTTAGCTACTATGATTGGTGGAACAAATGGTTAAGCATTGACTACTAACCAAAAGGTTGGTGGTTCAAACTTACTCAGAGGCACCTAGGAAGATAGGCCTGGCAATCTGCTTCCAAAAGTTTACAGCCTTGAAAAATCCCGTGGAGCACAGTTCTACTTTGCACACATGGGGTCCTTGTGAGTCAGTGTCAACTTGATGTCAGCTAACAACAACAATGTGAAAGGATGTCTCCATTTGGTAACCCAGTTCTTTGAGTTCTATCTTCAACTTGTCTCACTGCCTACAACTAAAGATGAGGCAGTGTCCTCCAGCACCTTGCAGCACTCATCACCCTACAAGAGCACTTACAGCAATCTTTCCCAAGGTGACCCTGCATTAAATTTGAACAAATGTCTACCAGCCTCCCAATGTTTCCTTTCTAATTATTTTTGGCACCATGCTCCTTTCATACATCTTTCAACATATATTTATAGAGCACTTAATTACTGAGCATAGAAACTCTGGTAGGAGCTCTAAGGCATTTGACTGCTAACCAGAAGTCTGGCAGTTCAAACCCACCAGCTACTCTTCAGAAGGAAAATTGGGCAATCTAATTCCATAGAGACACCACCTCAAAAACCCAAGGAGGGGTCGCTATGAGTTGGATCTGACTCCATGGCAGTGAGTGAGTTTGGAGCTCTGGTGGTGAAAACATTCAGCTGCTAACCAAATAGGTCAATGGTTCAAACCCACTAGTCACTCTGTGGAAGAAACATGAGGCAGTCTGCTTCTGTAAAGACTCACAGCCTTGCAAACCCTAGGGAGCAAAAAGAAAGAAAAAGAAAAAAATCACTGCTATCTAGTCAGTTTCTGATTCATAGCGACCCCTGTTGGGTTTCCAATGCTGTACTGAAGCAGACTATCTCATCTTTCTTCAATGGAGCAGCTGGTGGGTTCTAACCACCAATCTCTGGGTTAACTGGTAAATGTCTTAACCACTACAACACCAGGATCCTTAAGAGGAAGTCAGGAGAACACCAATTCTACTGCCGCCCTGACAGACAAGGTCTGAGAAAATAGTCACCACTTTTGGGCTGCAGAGAAAATGTCCTCAAGGAGCTAGATTTAAGGGAAGTCAAAGA